GGAAAACAACAAAAACGTTATTCTTTTCTTTCTGCAAGTCCCCATGAATGGTAGAGAGCGACTCTCCCATGATCTGTATCAAGTCATCCCTGGTATCTTTAAGCATACATGGGCTCTCAGTTGCTATGCCACGGGTTACATTATACACGGCTTGTGCAAACTGAGAGTGCTCTGTCTAAGCAAGCAGGCGCATTCGCACGACGGACACAGCCCCCAGGATAGCTGCGTGGTCACACGATCAGAGGGCTTGACGGGAGCCTCTGAAATCATCTAGATGAGCCCTGTCACTCCTGACAGATGCTTTTTCCACTCGGGTCTTCACTGGTGGAGGCTCCAGGATCCCCCGACGAGTCCGTCCTAGCGTTTCCAGGTTCTCTCCAACGCTACGTTTATCTCTAATATCACGTTCCTTGCTGCTTTGTAAACCCATTATTTTCATATCTTTTCTATTAGGGGCAGAGAACAGGTTATTCCCCTCCTTTTGGCAGGGGCCTTTTCTGTGTCGTTCTCATGCCTCCCCACTCGCTAGAGATGAGCACCAGTGCATACTGCCTTATTACTACCAACGCGTTATTCACAGACAGCCTTGGGCAACAGAAACAGGGGCTACCGGGTTTGGGCTCCCGTTAGAGGAAACGGTCATTAGGGGGTAACAGAGCTCAGCCGGCACTGAGAATTAGGTCCTCTCTTAAACAGACATTCGACAAACTCGTGTTGCTTATCAACTATTTACGACGAGAGGGATGCGCCCCAAGACCTAATTCAGACTTGAACGGGGCTCGGGCTTGCGCTAACCCTTTCTACAGGGTGAAGTTCACTGCAGGAGACTTAACAGACATGTCATGAGGTGGCCAGAGCTAAAAAAGGAGGAATCTGAACTGCATCGAGAGCAAGGGGCTGTAAGGTTTGTGACAGTCTGTGTTACAAGGCACAACCACTCACTGCCATTTTGGCTCAGCTTGCTACAGAGGGTTGTGCGCGTCCGTACATACGAGATTCTTTCTATTGATGTTACTGGGCTTTGTGCCAGGCCTGAAAGATGAAAGAGTGATGCCGGGGAACGCACTAAGTGATACTGGCATGAAGAAATACCCAGACTGGCGTTTTTTTCCAGATGCTATGGTGACAGGTCCTCATACAGACGCTAGTGATGTAAGCAAACAGAAAATAAAAGTCCTTCAATTTTTCAGGAAAATGAAAGTCTGAAGAAGAAAGTCTCGCATACAGCTTGTGTGCCAAGGACTTCACCAGTTGCCTTTCTCTACATTTTTCTCCAGTTTATATGCAACTTGGAACTCCTGAGTGAAAAGTGCATGCATGGTAAATTAAAATGTGCATGTTTTACTACAGAAAATGCAGACATATTGTGGCTCATGCTGTAGGGCTTAAATCATCACATCAGGTCTTTATCAAAATGGAGATCGCTGAGCCTCATGGGAAAGGCATTTGCATCTTCATCATTACAGAGGCAACAAACTTCATCCATAAAGATGTGCCTGGAACAAATGGCTGCAAATTGTGGACACATGTTTTGCTTTAATTGGTCTTCATCAACGCAGTCTAGCTAGTGACTTCAAAGCTTTCACTAACCCAGAAACCTCTTCCAAAATTTTTAGTTTAACCTTTCTATGTTTTTTTAAATGTCTTAGAGATTTCAGATTAGATAGCATCACTGAAAATTCAGCTTGAAAGCCGTGCTTCTTTAGAGCTATATTACATGTATAATTACTTACTCATAAATTATGAATGACTAGAGGTAAAGTAGCACGGCCCAGAGTCCCTGAACTGGGCCAAATGTAGCACTGTAATTTTTACAAAGTCTGTCTCTTGACAACTGGGATCAGATTCAAGGCAGCTACAACCATATTCAAAAGAGCAGCTGTCGCTAGTCCTATCTTCACTCTACTTGATCTGTCGCACTATTCTTGATCAGCATAAACGGATGGAAAACGTTGTTTTGGGGAACCACAGCAGAAGACTACGGATGGCAACAGACTGATTACATAACTCTTCTAAAATCCACAAAAGAGAAGGATGCTCCATTTATTCTCTTAAATCTGAATTTAGATACGGGCCTGATTTTTCACAGATTCGGCTAACAATTCCCACTAGTCTAAAAACCAGACAAATAGGTACATAAATCTTCTTTGCAGCCCCAAAGCCTTGCAGTCCTGCTGAGTGTTAGGGTCCCACTCTCCCAGGCACGGTGCAAACACACGGCTGAATCCGAGCCCAGCAGTAGAGCACAAACGAACAGAAGTGGAAACAGAGACACAGAAGGGTGCAGCCCCTGCTGGCCCAGTGGCACAGCTGGGTCCGCACCAAGGTGTGATAAGCCTGGAGCAGTGCCCTCGTTTCGGGATGAAAATGCTCCTTCCTACACGTCTCAGCCACAGGTCGGCTCACGCGGGCACAGACGGAGTCTTGTCTCTCCACCTAACCAGCGTTTCTAGAAAAACCATCAACGCTTTGTTCAAGACATCCCAGGTTTTTGACTCACACGAGTACGCATGCAGAGCATTTCTCTCTATAACCCTAACCCTTAGTTAGTCACTCAGCGCACTTCAGACAAGATGAAAATGTTGCCCCAACACTCAGGCAGCACCACAGACTCACTTATTGCAGTTGCAGAGGAGGGACCAAGGCACAGGGCACTAGTAAACCATACCAAAGGAGAACATATTATTTTGACACATTTTCAGAAGTTTGGAGGCTTTTTTTTTTTTTTTGCTGTATAGTAGCAGCAATTTTCCTTTTTTTTTTTTTACGCAATTTTTTTTTTTTTTTTTTAGGCAGACAAAAGCCCACACTGCAGGCACTTCCTACAGCATAAAGAACAGTTATAGGAAACACATTAAAGCCATTTCTTCTTCCTCTGGTGTAGATTGCACTCTGGAGATTGTCTTCAGGACTGTGAGGCAACTGGGGAGAAAATGAGCTGAAGTAGCATACTTACAGGGCATCTAAAAGAAACTTATTTAACAGGAATTAAATAACTTGGTGGATCTTGTCATGGACAAGCTCCTTAAAAAACAGCTAACCCACCAACCGCAAAGCAATCAGGTAATGAAAAAAATCATTCCAGATGCCCAAAATACATATTATGTGGCTGTAACTACTGGATTTGTTAATGATAGCTACGTTTAGTGCACACCTGCGCTGCACTCAGAGAAATGAAGCAGTTAATTTATCTGTTAGGAGAAATACTATGTTCAGACTCCATCCTTTCAAATTACATCGTGGAGTTTTCATAGTATCATTGCCTATTCATGCAGGATACATATAGTTTGCTCATTCCTTCCCTCTGCATTTTCAGTATCCCTCTATTTGTTGCCTAGATCTTCAACAAACTACCCTGAAAAATATAGTTTAAACCAGCAGGGATAGCAATGGGGTACACTGCCCAGCAGGGAAGCATTACATTAAATGAAAAAAACCACAGAAAGACCAAACGCTATGACAGGTTCAATGTACATTATACCTTCCTTTTTTTTTTCCTGCCACGTTAGTAGAAATGTATTCATACAGTTCAGTTTCATATTTCCATTACAACAAAACTAATGCTGCTCCAGGAAAATTTCCATTGATGTTCATGAGAGTTTTGCAAGAGTTACAACTTGCAGGTGTAGCCCCATTTTACCCTAGTGAGCAGCCTCCCTGTACTGCCAGAAAGGCAAGGCTCAGCTAACCAGCCAAATTTCCATGCTTTTCAGTAGAAGTGTTCTTCAGCCTGGCCAAAGGCCACACAAGTAGCCCTACAGAGTTCACCGAAATCATTTTAGGATTAAGTTACTATGCAATACGTATGCAATATGTCTGTATCTTGGGCATATCTCTGGAGTCTCCCCTCCAAAGTCATGGAGACGCACCTGAGTACCTCCTACGTCGTAAAAAAGAATAGCAAAACCAGACAATCTAGCCAAGCACATGGAAATCTCTCCTTTTATACCATGATGGCAATGAGAGAAACAATGACATAATATTAACCAGGTTTCGGTTAACAGTCTTCAAAATACTTGTTAGGCTTACTTTTCACACACACCAATGAAAGTAGTATTAGGTGCATTGCTCATTCTGTGCCCGCTAAGCATGTTTTTCTGGTTGTTATTTAGCTTGGACAGAATATGAGAAATCCATACAGAACTCTACCATCATGCATAGCTTGAAGCCAGAAATTCTGCTGAATTGAAGAGACAACATAAAAACAACAGACTGTTACTGTAAACTAGCAACTTCCTTTGGAAAATATATTATAGAAAGTGATTATTTATATTTCATCTTTTCTTATATTACTTAATCTCTAAAATTTTGAAGGAAAGTTGTTGCTTGTGATTTTGACACTGAAAATTGTCAGTCTACAGAAATGCCCTAATAGCGTCAGTACTGTTTTATAACTAAAATTTGGCTTTACTCCTGTGAGTAGGTGAGACAGCCCTTATCCACACAGTCTAAATGTCACTTGACTCCTTCTGCTAGACTTCTGGATCGGATGGGCTCTTCTGATGGCCCAAACTCAGCAAAAAGGAACTTCTCACCGCAAGAACAGACACAGCATTTAGCGCTGTGTGAATCTGGGGCTCCCTTCCCTCACCCTGAGATCTTTTTGCGGAAAGACCGCCACCAGACATGCCAGCTGGGAAGGATCCCTTTTGTCCCCTGAGAACTAGACAAAAGCCATGACTACAAAAAGGTTGTTTCATTGCTTCTTCCAAACGCTATTCCTGCTTCCAGATCTCATTCTTCTGAGGGTGCTCCTCATCGCTCAGCACAGCCACACTTTTACCCTTGTACAGGACGCTGCACAATCACCTGCTACTTGAACTCGGTTTTTTGATACATATTCAAGTACCTTATTGAACAAGAGAATTTGATTTCCATTCTAGGTACTTGAAACATGGTGCATGGTTAAGAACCTCCCTGAACTGTGGCTTGCATAGATATTACTATCTTACCTACTTTCTTACAGGAATTAAAAAAAAAAAAAAAGAATATTTACTTACTAAACAGTTGGCAATAGAGGACCTGTAAGCTTCTCTTCATGGTATCATGTGGTCCTGCTGGTCTGCCAGTTTATTCATGATTCTGTCAAGAAAATTAAGAGAAGAAGAAAACAATATGTGATTTATTACAGAATTCATGTTTTGTTATTATACCTGTTGATTACAAAGTAAAGCGAAACTTCAGGAAAATCATAGTGATTAGCAGAGGGAAATTATCTGCCTAAGTGTGCTTTATTCTTCTTAGCCACACTCTCCAACAGCTTGGCAGTGAAGTTTATAATTATGGTCAAAAAAGGGAAAAATTCTGAAATGACACAGGTAAACAAAATATATGCACACAGTATTACTTTCTGTTGTGCCTGTGACTTGACAAATTATTATCTGACCACCTCACAAGATTCCTTTTAGTTCAGAAAAGGGGCCATCACAGGAAGAGCAAGAGTAAGACACGGACACTGCCAGCCAGTTGTGCTGGACCCACAGGGCTGGATTTGAGCCTTTGTGCATCACTCAAGAGGTACGAACAGGGGAAAATCCAGCCTCCCCTTCCCAATCAAGACTTCAGGGGTGCTGCAGGGGGAGCTGCCGACCATGTTGAAATGAAACTCCTCCTGGGCTGCAGCTGGAGTTGGGGCAACTGGAGAGTCAGGGAGCCAACCCAATTTCCTCGGCAACTTTCTTTTTCTCGTAAACTGAACTCATCTCGGGGTAGGAGGGACTCTCACAATTCATATAACCGCCCACCGAAAATGGGATGTGGCAAAAATATCTGACCACCCCATCTTTCCCCTCTTGCCCATTCTGGGAGCGCCTACTAACATTTCACCTGCCCTCAGACTGTATTTTCAAATACTTGCCACTGGTATTTTTCACGTCAGGTTTAAGAATATTATGAAAAAACACATCTCAATCACGCTGATATTATTCATTCACATTGTGAGGAATATAAACACATAGATCAGAAGTGAAAAGCAGATGTAGTCCCAAAACACCGCTGTAAGTAATGTCTGACTGAGAACCCAAAACAAAACAGCATTCAAATTCTTCACTCTGTAAAAAAGCATTTGCTAAAGTTTCATAACCAACTTTGAGAGACGTGACACTCAGACCATTCTCCTAAAACACATCTTGTCAATATTAAATAGCATGTAATATTCTCTTGTTTTCAGTTCAACATTATTTCATCTTCCAAACTTCTCAGGACATTTATGAGTCATGTTAACATGGTCCTACATACATCTTTCTGAGTGTATTTAAAACGTAATCTTGAAGACATAGGACAAGCATGTCAAACCAATAAATAGCACCTTTGACCTGAATAGAGGCCAAAGAGCTTGTGAAAACAGAATTGTATTTGAAGTTCATGTGGAAACCTCCTAGGACTGTTGCTTTTCTTGCCTGTGTTCTGTAACAAAAGATGCTTATTTCTTTGTTATGTTAACAGATTTAGCAATTTATGTTCACAAACACAGTGTTCTTGGATTCTCCCATGCTTTCTTTTCCATTTAAAAATGGACGTTATGAAAACAGCTGAGAAATTCTCAGAAATATCTGTATTGCAAAGTAAGTGTTTTCTCCTAAACGAAAGCAATCATCTCTGAATTAATTTATTATTTTTTAATAAGAATCAGAATCAGACTCAGGAGGAGGTCAGGTTGTGAAAACTTCCTGAGGAACTCCTGTTCTTCCCTTTCTCCTCAAGGTTTATCAAAAAACAAAGCAGACAGTCTTCATACATAAATAGACACCAAACAGTTTATTACAGCACTTTTCACATGGACATATCCAGAAAGTTTGCGTTTAGCATGCCTTCACCATTAAGATATTAATAAACATATAAGCAGCAAAGGATCAGAACCACGTAAGCCACTTACAATGTGTTCCCATATCTTCAAGTGCCTTGTTTGTAAGCTTATGCCAAAACAGGATTTACGAGTACTGACCAGTTTGAGGTAGAGTGTTATAAATATAATGAAAAATAAAGGAGAACATGAAATTGCCATTCCAAAACCATGGCACGTGTCAAATGCTTTGAATACTTTAAATTGTGCTGGGCAACTGCGATGTGATACATGTGATGCCTGATTTTTGCCAGTCCACTGCAAGTTATCCATACTTCTCTTCCACCCCCACGTTAATGGTGCTCACAATGTTCAAAGGTACTCTGCTTATAGTTGTGTAATGGTGGTTAAAATAAATTGTATGCAGCTGTGTATTCATTTATTTGTTCAGGCAGAACTCTTTTAAACTGCTTTTATATGAAATAGGGTAATTTATGCTGTGCCAAGAAAAAGGAAATTGTGTGTATATGGTGAAAGAAACAAAGATTTCCACTTGAAACCTTTCACCATGTTTTTCGTTTGCCTTCAGTTACAAAATTTATATTCTTGACTATGTGGCCATAAAGTTCTACTGAGAGAACACAATAAAGTTGAACAAACCAAATGCTGCCTTGAGTTCACAGTCTCCTAAATTTCTTCAAAGTCCTTGGCATGACCTTAGGTTGAATTTAAACTTGAGCGGAAAATATTGCAAGTAGATTTTCTCTAATTGTTAATGTATCTTTCCCTGTGCACAGGACATCTGACAAACATTGTAAGATAAGAGATATTTTATGAGATTTATTTGTACCTGTTTGGAAGTCAGATCACACCAAGGATGATCTCCCAAAGGCAGAGACTGCTTGCAACAACTATAAACACTGCACAAGTTCATCCAAATGCACCATAGCATTAACTAACATCACCTAAATAAAGACCTGACGTAAAACAGAGGAACCACTGCTATCCCAGCACAGAGGAAAGGCCCAGCTAGCCCACTGCCCTGTCTTCAACCCTGGCTGCTAGCAAAAACCTAGGGAAATAACATCTGAAAAAACATGAGCGTAAAGTAATCCTTACGTCCTGGCAAATCCTGCTCAATTTCCAGCAATCCTGAGCTGAACCGAGCATGTCGGCTGCTGCTTTTTATAACTGGATCAGTAATCGCTGCTTAGTTATCTCCTCCCCGTCATACATAATTTTAGGCTTCTGCTAGATCACTGAGCCATCGCATCTCCAAAATGCAGAGTTCTACCCTTTTTGGTTTCTCCCATACAGAAGATTTTCTCTGCTTAAGATAATCTTGGTGCCTTAAGCCGTACCCTTTCACAGTCTGATTTGGGAAGAGGGGAGCAGAACTGCATGTGGTCATCAAAACACGGGTGCCAAAAGTATTTTTGTACTGGACCGTGATGTTTCTGGTCTTTTTCTCTATTCCATTCCCAAGTCTGCCTACTGCTCCATTACCTTTCTGACTGCTGCTGAGCTCTACACCAGCGTTTTATAAAACTGCCCTCCGCGAATCCGTGAGTGGCAATAGCTCCTCTGGAGTCCATCCTCATGTATGCAGAGTTGGGAGTGTTTCTTCCCATGTATGGTATTTTGCAATTATCGCCATTGACTTTCTTCTGCCATTTTGTTGCCCAGTCACTTACCACCATGATATTTCCCAGAGCTGCCTACTAAGGGCAGAATATATTATTATATAGCAAATGTAAATATATTACACATAACAGCTACTGAAGTTGCCACACTTTCAATACTAACATCAGTTTCAGCAACTTCCAAGCACAGTTCAGTCACGGAAAACCTTCTGTAACTCTAAGGAGAGGAGGCAAAGATTCACAGCCAGTCTGCAATGCTGCAAAGGAAATTTGCTTTCTGGGTATCGATTCATGCCCAACCGATGCAGTACTATCTCACTGCCATACAGGCTCACCGAATCCAAAGTTTCTTTCCCTAGAAGTATCTGGGTTTTGCAGTCTTTAGCATGTGAAAATCTTTCGCCGGCCTTTTGGGATAAATAGATTTCTTTATCGCAAGCAACAGAGGTTACATGTTGAGTAGTAGTTGAGAGGGCTCCATTACACCAACCAATGTTTTATTAAGTATTGGAGCATGCAGTTCTAGGCACTAACAGATTGGCAGAATCATGTATGTACTGATGGAAAATACCGACACGGAGCCAGACCCTCACGTTGGGCACATTAACATAAAACCAGAGTACTGCTACCTGTTTTAAATAAACTCTCATTTACAAGAAAAAAATAATCCTAAAGAGTGAACAGAAAGCACAAATTAACCAGAAAAAAAAAAAAGATTTGAAAAATGTATGCTAAGCTTTAATAATCCAAAATCTAATGTGAGTACATGAATTTTGTACCCATTTTATACTCACACTCTATAAAATTTCACTGAGTTTTCTCAGGAGTACTTTCCTCCAAAATATTCACTTTATATTGTCCTTCAATATTTGATAAGCCATTCTGAGCATCTGAGAGAATGATCTTTTACAAATACATTAGATCTTGAATTAAGACTTTAGAAAACAGGTTCTTAAACTTGAGATCTTAGATCCATTTTTAGGTCCCTAAGTGAATGGGCAAATTCTCAGTAATGTTGAACTTCCACTGACTCTCCTCTGAGTAGTAGGAAATAGAGGTCTAATTATGGCTTTTAGGGTTTTCTATATTATAACTCATATTGGTTCACCTACCAATATATTTTGAAGGAAAGTAATAAAGCTAGTGCAAGTTTATGCACTTAAACCTACTTCAGTTTAGAAAGACTAATCTTCAAAAGTTGAACTGGTGGAAATTTGTATACTGAAAAGGTGTTACATGCCTTAACTCAGATACCTGTGTTTGAAAATACGAGCTTAAGCTGTCTGAAAAGGGCTCAAATCTTTTGCCCTTTGTAGTGCAAAATATCGCACAAACAGTTTTTCTTATGCATGATGATGAATGGATGTGTGAAATCTTTGTGGACAGCTAGCAATATTGTCTTTCACAGTAAGCGATCCCCTCAATGTCTCAGCTAAATTAAAGAGGACATAGAAGACATAATGATGAATAAAAGACAAAAGAGTCCAAAAGAGCTGATAGCTCCCTGAACATCCAGTCATTCATTATGTCTAGTGGGGAAAAAAAACAATAGTGTCTTAAACTAAAGAAGAAATGGAGGAGAACAGAAGACAAGCACTGAGACAAACCTAACAGCCAATGGACAACCTTTGCTGCCTTTAGGAGTTTGTCAAACAGAA